AATGCTTTGCTGTAGAAACATTAGCCCTGTTTGGCACCCCTGAAGTGGATTCCTGATTCTACTACTTTCTGATGGCTGAAGTTGGACAGGCTTTTTAATTAGAGGTTTAATTTTAATTAGTGGTTTTTAAATGCACAAAATGAAAGAACTTTGTGAAAGTTGAAAACTACATTTAAAAATGCATTCTGAAAGTTACAGGGATGCACCACGTGCCTGCTGCTAATTCGTGTTGCCATGAGTTTTAGGATGAGATACCTTTTTGCTTTAGTGCTACTCTTTTCCTCTGAAACTCAACACCAATTAAAACAGGCATCTGACGCTGCTGAATCTTTGTAAAAGCTGGAAGCTCACATTCTTCTCCCCCTTGAAGTGAGGCAGTGACTCATCTCAGAGCTGGTTGCCAGTCGATGCTCCCAAGAGCTGTGCTCAACTGCCACCCCTCTGAGCAACGCTCATGTCCACTGGCGTGATGGACACACTGAAAGTTTCCCTCCTGAAGCACACAGCGGAAGTACTTTACAGCCTTTAAAAAAGGTGGTCACCTACATGCTGTTCCGCGATCTGTGACTGTCGCTAAAGCCTGGATCTAGATAAGCCATCGCTCCTGTCCTTGCTAACTGCTTCAGTGCAGCTTCGGAGTGTTTTCATAATTGCCATAATGACTCTATGTCCTGGGCCTCCTGACCCTGCAGCTAAGAGTAGGAAGAATTTGTCCTGTGGGGACACAAGAGAGAACCTCCCATTTAAGGCACGGTGAGTGCCTGCGTGATTCAGACACAATGTACTCTCTGCTCCAGTTAAGAGAAGGCAACTGTCCTTGAGTTCATGTATGAAAAGGGCTCCCTAAAGACACCTGAGCCCCAGCTGGCACACTCTGTAAACACAGAATAACCTTCCCTGTGCACATTCGCAAGCGACTTCCACGAGAACATGCTTCTCCTAACTGCCAGTGACAAAATGCTGTTTTCCAAAGCCTATTCGAATTATGGCCCTCATGTAATCCAAGCCCAACACACATTTTTCTCAACATAAATCTCTAGTACATTGAAATGAATGGAATCAGACTTTAACTTCTGCTAGACTTGATATATCCTGAAATGAGTACTGATCCATCAAGCCTGGTAATGTGTGACTTTCTGAATGACAAATTAATCCCATTTAAACTTCTAATTATATATTTGGATATTACATTGATTCCAATATTATTCCTGAGCTAGCTTTGCTCCACAGGTACTTTGGTTTACTGGTTTCATTAAAATAATAATGACTTAAATCATCTTACATCTCCAAGTGGACCATTCCACGAGGCTGGCTGTCAAAATAACCCTGTGTTCTGCGGGATGCTTGACTCATGCTCCGTTCCGTAATTCAAGTTCAATAGTAAAATTTTAAAGGTATCAATAGTACCTTTAGTTACTGATCAAATTTAGAACAAGACTGGGAGAAAGAAAAGACAATCCTTACAATATTTTAAAGCAATTTATGCTGCATCTCACACATTTTGAAATACTCATTACTATTTTGCATTGAAGAACTTTTTGCCTTTTAATTTTGTTTAATTACTCATTGGCCATTCAAAACATGTTGTTCTATTTCCACATTTTTATAATTTCTCTTATTATTGATTTCTGGTTTTATTCCATTGTGGCCTCAGAATGTAACAGTATGATTTGAGATTTAAAAAAAATTTTAAAGCAATTGCACCTTGTCACAAACGCATTTCCTGGCTGCCAAACACACACCGTCCACCAACACTGCACTTCAACTTAAACACGTCCCAGAGCTGACCCACGGCCACTTTCTTCTTTTCCTACCTCACTTCTAGTAAGCGGCATCCCCCTGCAGTTACTCAGCTCTCCATTCCCCCTGCAGTGGGCTCTCTGGTCTCTGGTACCACAGGTGCTACTCCAGTAATACCCTCATGTTCAAGTTAGGGCCTCTGTCACTCTCCTTTAAGAGAAAAAAATTAGGACTTACTGAATCCCTTTATCCTCTCTAATCTCAAGAGTAGAAAAAAATTCTCTCTACCCTGAAGCAGGAAACACCTTTCAAAATCACACCGTCAGGAGCTGGCACCTGGCTGGGGCGGGGACGCGCACAGCCCTCCTTTTCTGCTCTTCCTAGTTGGGGGGCTTTCTCTTCTCGTCCCGTCCCCTGTCTGGACTTTGCTAATTGGTATCTGGGGCCCCTGAGCTGGCATCAGCCCCAGCCCATTCTCACCCTTTCTCTTCCCCTCTTCCTCCTCTGCCTTTTGTATCCCATTCTCAGAAATAAAGATCTTTCATCCATTTAAAAACAATCTCATCATACCCTTCCCAAATGTTGGTTCATCTACTGAAAACCGATTTTACTTGAATAAGGGAGGGTAAGAAATAACCAGGCAGTGTGACAGGGTTGAGTCTGCTGAGTAATGAATCCGAGCAGCTGTTCAACTTGTCAACCTCTCAAGTTAGCTATTCACCCAATCCCACTTGCCCCAGCTGGAAAACGTGGCTGATAGTGCCCAGCTCATAGGTTTGTGTTCTAATTAACCTAAAACACGTAGTATAAAATTAGGTACCCTGAGTTGTGGTAACTAATGTTATGACACTTGCTTTAGGCTTTGACAAAATTATTCTAATGTATGTTTAGGCAATGTTCAAATGGGAAGAGCCTCACACAGGAAGAGAAAGAGAGGAGACTTGATATCGTTCATGAGTCTTTTGTGGCTGTGAAGAAGCAGGCTCAGCTGGGCAGTGTGTGCAGCTTGGCTTCTCACGTTACTAAAACTGCTTTATCAGAAGCAGCTGGAATGCAGGATCAAGAGTTTCAAAGCACTCAAAGCTTCTGACGTGAAATTCCACTTATAGCAGAATCTTTTTACAGAAATAGCCTCACACACTTTAACTCTCTGAAGGCCACGCATGTTCACAACCAGAAAACTTGTAGCATACAATCACAAACGTCACAAATGCCTCAAATTAGGAAAACAGCAAATAAAAATCCATTCACGTCTCTAATAAGACGTCTGTTTTGAAATCATACAGATGGGAGAGTTTGTGATGCTAAAGGTTCAATGACAGAGCGAGTAGATAGTACAAACATGCACAGAACAGGGAAAGGCAAACTGCAAGTCCTGGAGGATGGATACCTTTGTAGCATTAAATGCGTTTTTTTTGTCATACATTTTACTGAATACCACATAGTTTTTACAGTCAGTAGGTACTGCGTTATGTTGGGCTATAAAAACTAAAATTTCCATACCTAAATATTTACAGCTACAACATTAACTTTCTGGAAAGAGTGATGGGTCCCCTACCACTTGCTCAGTGTTTTCTTCCAGAGACTAACAATTTTCTCCACATGCTGAACAGGACTTCAGAAGGCTACAGGATTAAATAAGAAGTAAAGTGCAACAACTGTCCTTTGTGGTTACACCTCCCTCATCCGTCACTCTGATTTTAGACTTGTGTCTACCACAAAGTGTCACAGTTTCTTGCCTATTCCATGTAAATGCACAATAATGTATGCTCACTAAAGTATCATAAAGAGTTGCATGTCTGCACTCCTAGCACCTTCCTCACTGCTGGAGCATCACTAAACACACCCAGCGTATCAGTAAACAAACGTACTAGGCAACACATTAGTCTGCAACCCCACTACCCTGTGGGATGGCACTAACACACACAGCTTCCAATCAGAACACAGCGAACACCGTCACTTACAGGATTTAATGGCTGGAGAAAACGAGGAAAGGGAGACCTTCAGTTGATAAAGAAATGGCAGGCAAGCTGGGAACATCCAATCCAAGGAGTACTCAGGGGATGCCCCATGCATCTCACAGACTGGCTCATGACGGTGAGGGACAGGCATGGTCCTTACATCTGCTGGACACAGTGCCCCTAGGGGCTCACGCTTGTGCTCTCTGGCCACTCTGGGAAGTCCTACATCACACACACACATACGCACGCATGCGCGCGCCCACATACACACACACACACACACACACACACACACACACACACACACAGTCTCTCTTCCCTTGCTCAAATCTGGAAGTGTCAGAAGTGTCCCTATGACAGATCAAAAACATCAGCGCCTCCATGGGGAAGGGTTGCTTCTGCTTTCAAGATGGAAGGGCCTCGCCAGGCCATACCAGAACCACTGTCTGTTCTCCAGCCCTTGTGACTCACTGCCAAGCAGGTGGCACCGCACCACCCGACACCTGTCTTTACAGAACGAAGAATCTGGCAACTTGGGTCCTGGAATTGAATTCTTTCACTATATTCCCTTAGTTTCGAATTTCAATCTTTTGATTTTCCAGAACAAGTGGGAGAGAAGGGAAGCAGAAGAGTGTCAGCCTCTGAAGAACTGTACACAGAATGCTGTTTATCCCCGGTTTGTTCAGGGGAGGGGAGCGGTTAGGCCCCGCACATGGATACTAAAGGCCAAAATGGAAGGAGTTAATGGAAACAGCAACACCAGCACCCCAGGGGTGTCCGCAGACCCTTGGGTGTGTGTAGCTGATCCCTGCATCTGTGCTTAGCTGGACAGTTCCATTCCCTTGGCTGCCCAGTCCTCTTCAGTGGCATGTGCATAACATGAACCTGACTTTAAAAGCAAATTCACCACCCAGGGGAACCGAGGAGGGCTCTCAGAATGCTGCACACCACCCTGTCAACCAACAGCGGGTACCCTTTGTGCCAGCAAACTCCCAAAGTTTGTTTTAACCCACACAGGAGAAACGCAGCTGGCTCTGAAGTGCCTCCCGGATATGTTTCTGAAAACACAATCTGCCTCTTCTCTCCAGCTCATACCAGAGACCCCACACCAGAAGCAGCCTTCGTCAGGAAAAAAGTGAGGGTCACAAGCAAGACAACATCACTCATTTACAACCAACACGAGGGCACGGTCTGCAGAGTGCCAGCAGGGGCTCTCCGAATTGATGGTTTGCTCCCTCAAGTTTCGCAAAGGCACCAGGAACCCTAAATTGTAAAATAAAAGCACAGAGGCAAACTTACCCAAAGTGACTGGATAAGTTCATGGAAATACAAAAGAGGAGGAGATGTTTGATCATGATAAAGCTAGAGAACATTCCATTGTCCATTCCCAGTAAGAATGAGAGTCGAGGCAGATGAATGTGGCAGAATCACTGTTCCTCTGTCCAACTTAATCTGGAAGCTGGAAAGCACACAAGGGGGGACAGTCTATGAACCTGAACGTTTTTGTGTCGCTACACCGGAATGAAGTCACACTGCTACTAGGAGACAGTTAACAAAGACAAGGCAGCTGGTTACCGCTGCCTGGCAGGGACACATACCATACCCGGTGTTTTCTACCACCTCCTGGGGCTGTAAGATGGGGTGTAACTAAAGTTACCCTCCAGCTCGATTTTACATTTACTCAGAGTGCAGAATCATTCGGATTTTTTCCCCCAGGTCTCAGACAGTATTTCACTTTTTAGTACATTATTAAATGACCCATTAGACCAATTATTAAAATAAATGCCCGACCTTATCTGAGCAGCTGTATTTTGTGTGTGTCAAATCCACAAGTGGAATCAATTTACCTTTCTGAAGTATGTGCCCCTCGTTCACTGCCAACACGCTATCTCTTGTGCTGCAAGGTGTTGCGAGAAAGCAGGTGGAAAGAGAGAGAAAAAGGCACGTTTGAGAAACACGTCTTACACAGGATCGCGCGCACAGAACAGCTGCCTTGGCTGAGCACACTCTCCGCGTCCTGCCTCCAGGACCCAGCGACTGAACCACGGCTTTTGGGAAGCTCCTGGTTCTGGGCTGGGCCCTAATGAAAGCATCTGAAATTCAGGCAGACACCATCCTGGTCTCTAAGCTTAGAGCAGACACATATTCCTCAACGTGCGCATAACTCAGAGAGGTGCTCCGGATACACAACCACCGGGAGTTCGCAAGCCAACGTTTTTCAGGGGACACCCCCCAAAACTCCAGACGGGGGACACACACAACAGGTACTCCCCCCTCCCAAGCCGGGGACCTCCGCAACTCCGGAGCAGGGCAGCGCGCCTGCCATGCGGTGCTCGCCAGCGCTCCCCGGGCTCGTCCCCGGACCGGGGTGGCGAGCACGCGGCGCTGCCTGCAGGAGCCCTGCGCCTGCCGCCCCCCAGCCAAGCGGTGACCCGCAGGGCCGGCCACGAGCCCAGGGTCCCGGGACCGACCGCGCTGTGGCTCGGAGGCCAGGCCAGCGCCAGGCAGGTGGGGCGCGGTGGCACTGCGGAGCCGCAGCCGGCCCGCACCTGCCCTGCCCACGGCGCGCGGCCCGGGCCGCCGCCCTCCCGCGCCCCTCGCCACACCGTTCTCGCCGCGCCGAGCCGGTCCTGGACCGCCGGGTGGCACCTCCTCCGCGGCCGCCAGCGTGCGGTGCAGCGACACCTCCGAGTCCCTGGCCTCGAGCTGCCCGCGCGACACGCGCGCGACACCCCGGCGGGCCCGCGCCCACCCGCGAGCGCCGCCGGGACCCCGCGCGGGCACGGATCCTCTGGGGGGCGACCGCTCCCGCCCCGCGCGGCAGCGGCAGAGCTCCCAGCCGACTCCTACCGGTGCCGCGGGGTCCGCCGTGCCCTGCCCCGCAGGGCTGCGCTCCAGGTCTCCCGCCCTCCGCCGTGGCCGCTCCCGCAGTCGCCGGGGAAAGTTTGCGCTGCGGCTGCCGCTCGGTGGCGGTGCGCCCCGGGCCCGGGCGCCCGAGCAGCGTGGACCCGCGAGGTCCCCGCGCCGACCGCGGCCGAGCCGTCGGCGAGGCGCCTCCTCCTCCCCGCGCCCGCTCGCGTCACCGCCCCACGCCCGGGCGCGGACTCGCTGCGCCGGGTGGGGAGCTCCGGCCGCGCCCCGCAGCCCCGCGCCCCGCGCCCCGCCCCGCGGCCCCCGCCCCACGCCCCCCGCCCCGCCGCAGACCCCGCGGGCGCGCTGGCTCTCACCCAGGCGCACGTGGCCGGCCGCGCGGCGCAGCTCTGCAGCGCAGCTCCAGCAGGGGCCGCCAGATGCGCACCGAGCCGCCGCGGCCTGGCTGGGCGCGGGGGAGCGCGCAGGCCTGCGGCTCAGCCCACCCCGGTGCTGCAGCTGAAGTTTCTCCAGGGCCCCGGACGCATATTCGGTGCGCTTTGGGGTCACCACGCACCCACTCTGGGGCAGAGAGGGCAGGGTTGCGCCCGCAGGCAGCAGCCCGCGACAGAGACGCAGGCCTGGCAGCGTGGAGAGCACTGCGTTCCTAGGGCGGCCAGGTGCCCGCAGTACCGGTGCCCTCGCAGCACCCCGGGGTGCCCGAGGCTCTTACTCTTCTCAGGGAGAAGCTCACGTGGGGAAAGCCTTTCTGTTTGGCTCCCGAGTGGCCACTAATCCACTGTTTTGAGAGGAAAAGGCAGCGTAGAGCTGGAGCCTAGGAGGGAGCCCTTCCCCAGCTGCAGCACGCGGTGGGCTCTTCCGAAATTTGAGTGTTGGCCAGAAGGCGTGGTGTCAGTGGTGGCCCGGGGCCAGTGGGGTTTGCAGACCTGGAAGTAAGTTTGGGGTCCAGGGTGGGGGTCCCTCAGTGCGTCCCAGAGTCCTAACACTGCCTCCAGTTACCGGAATGCACAGAGGGTTTCATTTGTCACCACGTCTGTCTCCTCTGTCAGTGGTGTCCTTCCTGAGGGGGGGAGGGAGCGGCTAGGGACACCTGGGTATAAGCGAGGTCCCCTGCAAACTCTAGAGAAACGGATGCCAACGCACGCACAACATCCCTTCATGTCAGTGTTGTGCTGTGGCTCACCTGAGGGGTGCTCTGGCTGGTGGTGGCAACACCAGGGGAAACGTTCCGGAGAACTTGATCCTTATACCGTCGCCCCACACCTTTTGGGAGCCCACACTGCTTGTGGTGTCTTTGTAACAGCGAAGACGAGGGAAGCCAAATCGCCAACACCCCTCTAGCAAAGATACTTATTTTTCAGGTGTACAAAGCCCCCCCGTTTTCCAGTGATGTCTAACGCAGAGTATTCTGCATCTAAACTACCTACTGGTATTTTGGCACATTCCAGAGATTTTGAAATTTTCCCCCAGTAAGAAATTGTAATGTATTCTAGAAACAGGACATGCATCTGTGTAACTGTGCTAATATACAGGAACTGTTACCCCGGCTATACTTTTGGCTGTAGTATTAAATAATCCGGATTCTAGTGGTTCTTTGTGGACTGTTAATAAGATGTCGGTGTGCGAGGCCTCTGGCTCCAGATTGATACACTGACACACTTTATTATCTGCATTCCCAAAAGATGCATCAGGAAGATGGAGTCCTTCACAGTTTGGGGTTTTGCAAGTATCGAACCCATGTGGGGGCGCTAGTGGTGACTGGCCTGTGCCCTGGAAGGGAACAGTGGACCTTGCCCCTTCTCTCTATCTGTCTGCTTCTGGGTGGCGGTTAGGTGAGCAAATTACGCACTGCCATGTACTCATCACTGGCCCAGTGGCATCAAGACCAAGCCACTTCCCGAACTGCCTTTTTTATGAATTGTTTATGTCAGGTGTATTGTCACTGTGGTGCATAAGTAACGTAACAGTCAGAAGCATTACAGTAGAAAGAATGGATGATTTTGTGATGGGCTTCATCTGCTTTGCACCTATTGGATGTTGGAATCTCAGAAACACTAAATATAGCTGGCCTTTTTGGGCTAAACAGCACAGTATGAATTAAAAGATTCAAATAGTGAATTTAAAGCTTTACAGATTGTTGCACAAAATCATCTAGCACCGATTTTTGCGGGAAAAAAGGAATCACTTTCGCATTTGTGCGAGTTATGGATGTTAATTTTAATGGGAAAATACTGGTAAGTAAATATATCCTTTTGACAGATTACTTTTAAATTTTTATTTTTCAATTTTAACAGCCTCATGTTAACACTTTATCTTACAAATAAAAACGAAGCTTTTGTTTTTATTTTTATTAGTGCTTGTTTGCAGCACGCAATGGTTACATTTCTTGAGGAGCTGACACATGCATAGTACATAGAACGCCTGAATTCTTTGTATGCCTCCCTCTTTCCCCCCTTAACAAGTTGATTCTTTAAAACTGTGTTGAAGCATGAAGTGGTATCCCAGGGTCGCCTCATAATGTTTATGTAACCTATAATCCAGCCTCAAGGTGGACGTAGACGGACTGACCGAGGGGCGGAGAAACAGTGCAGCCCTGAACCTTCTGGAAGCGCGCATTGCTAAAACCACGCCGCTGCCGCTTCGGGCGTTCTTGCTTAGATGTGGAATTCCCTCTCTGTGCTGAGAAATCATGGTCTAGCCGCGGAATTCCCTTTTGCGCCATTAGCATTTTCACTTTTATTGAATGAAATTAAGCGACGTAGTTGTAATGCGGGGAAACAGTAGAGGGCGCCCCAGCTCCACAAAACCCCAGCGCCGGACCAGTCAAGACCGTTTCCTTTCCAGCTGGAAGGCTCAGGTGGCCGGGGAGGCTGGGAAGGGAGGGAGAGCGCGGACGCTCCGCAGTCCTCGCGTCAATGGGGCCCTGTGGTCTCTGCTCTGGAGCTCGGCTCGGCTCACCAAGCTCAGTACCCTCCGGCCTGCACTCGTCCTTGCAATGGCAGGACTTTCTTCTTGCTAAGGCTAAATAACACTCCAATGCACATGCTGTCTTCACCCCTTCAGACATCAACGGAAGGGTCGGTGGCTTTCACAGCTTGCATATGTGACCACGGGGATTTTATTTCCTTTAGATATATTTTCAGAAGTGGGAACAGGGCATGCAGCTCAGTAGTTCAGTGGTAGCGTGCACACCGTGAAAAGATACCAGTGTGTGTGTGTGCCTGCATGTGTATCTGTATCTGTGCATAGCTAGAGCTACGGCCATTCTTCCAAATGAGATCACGTGGTAGTTGCTGGCTGGAGGTTGGAATCAGGGTGAAAAGGGGCGATGTTAGACAAAGAATACAAATTTTCAGTCATGCAGGATGTCCGAGTTCTGGGGAGCAGGGTATTGCACTGTGACTATAATTAACAATGCTGTACCGAATGCTTGCAATTTGCCAAGATGGTTGATTTTAAGAGCACTCATTACATGCACAAAAATGATAGTAACTGCACGAGGCAATGAGCGTGTTACACACAGGTGTGTCTATCAAGGTGGACATTTGACTTGCCAGTTATACCTCAGAAGGAAAAAGGGGGCAGCATTCTCCCTGAGACCCTGGCCCAAGGTGTTCTAAGCTGAGCGTACACACGTGCAGAGGGAAGCACATTCGAGGGTCTGGTGTAGTTTTGTATTTAGGAAGAAATCAAGTACAAAGTGAACGTGGCAAGAGATAAAGTGAGCCAGGTGTGGGGGCCCAGGTGGGAAGCCAGGAAATGTGGAATCAGGAGATGGAGCTCCGCAGGTGAGAGGTAGGGAACCCGGAACAAACAGATTTGGCATCTGGAGAAGAACCTTCCTGGCATCCGGCCGGAGGAGAGCTAAACTGAAAGTCGAGGTGGACCTCACAGGCACACCTGCGGCCAGCCCACTGTAGACATTCAGTAAGCGAGTTACTTCATTAATGATAAATTGATAAATGAGTAACTATTAATTCACATGCATTCAAAGCACTTGTGTTCTGCCCAGATGGAAAAAAAAGAAGGGCTCAGTTCTTAAAAAGAAAGGCCCAGTCTGACTGGAAGCACTGGGAGAATTCCAGGAAAACATGGCAGTGAATTTAGACCCTGAAAAAAATGACGTGTCCAGAAAATACCTGAAAAGTTGGCAGCAAGATTTGGAACAAAGGCAGGAAGGTACAAGGTACACTAAGCTCTGTTCATAAAACACATGCTGTTAACAAAAGTACACTATGGATGTTTTAATGTCACAACTGTGCCTTTAATTTTCCTGATATTTAAATTAAAGCTGTCAAATTAGTCACAAATTAGAGTTTACATAGAGATGACAGACCCAGGAATGAGACCTACTGGCACCATACTGCATCCCCACCTCGTCCTTTAGAATGCTGGGATTATAGGTCTGCATCACTGTGCCCAGCTGACAAACGTGCTGTAATGACTGACATTATTTTAAAAGAAACAGATTTGAAAACAATTCTACCTAAACGCAGGGGTGAGTGATTGTTGCCACATTTCAGGATGTTCTTTAAATGCAGGCATGGGTGCATCCACATGCACAGAAAGAGACAGACAGACAGACAGACAGACACACAGATTCAAACCTCTTGCCTAACCCTCACCCAGTTATACTGGGCCTGGGCTCCTCAGAACAATGTAGTCTATGCCGAACCTCATTTTTGTGTAACTTGAAAATTGCAGACAATCGAGACTTTTAAAAGATTTAAAATATTTTTGGATTCCACTTTATCTCCATTATCAGCCAATTAGTTATACCTTTTTTATTTCCTTTAAAGATGACTTGTGTTTAACATAGACATCCTATAGTCTACCTTTAATTAGCAGTGTACTGTTTTGTGCACGGCATGCTGAAACTAACAAGAACTTCAAAGTAGCTACTATAACATGGTTTTAGATTTCAATATGTAGAGAATACAAATACACAAGCATAGACTGCAATTATAAATTCTATTATGAAGTGTAATGTATGAATCTTACAGTGAGGTACTTGCATTGTTCTTTCAGGTCCTATTTGCTGTTGTCACATGCCAACTAAATTCATCAATTACTTTTTACTGTAATGATTAATTATTTCTTAAATAGACTTTCAAAATGAGAGAAGCTTTCCACTGGGTATCATTTTAATTCTGTTTGCAGAATTGGTTTATCAGTCTTAAATCAC